GCTCTTCTGCGGTTCTGTGTATGCTGCGGGATGCCCCGCCAAATCTTTTCCTCCCATCTCTTGGTGGGAATGATCGAGAAGACCTTCCCACTGGTGCCCCGTTTGAACCCAGTTGTGCCCTTCCCCATCGTGAAGCCTTCTCCTCCTCCCGAGAATCCACTATTTTGCCTTTATCTCTAACCGAATCTCCCTGTAAGCGTCCCTGATTTGTATTGGCTCTCCCGGTCTCCGTGACTCCTTCAAGCGCTCCTTTATAACTTTTTGAGCCGCCGTCTAGTCTCTCCTTCGGATACTGCACCACTTCTCTTCTTTCCTTCTTCGGCTGCAAGAGTATATGATTATTCTAACCGTTTTAAATTATTTGTCATTTTGAAATTAATAATTTATTGTTATATAAAATTTGACAACAATTCTATTTTGATTTTATATTGTTGTATATAGACCAATACAGAAGTAAAAACTAAAACTATTTTTAATATATATACGCGAAACTAATATGGTCATTTATGTATTATTTATATAGTGTATATATTTTTATAAACATAATAGTTTTTAAGTTTACAAATAACAAAACTAGGTAGTGCTATTCTTTACAAAAAGTAATCCTAAAAAACAATTATATGATGATACAGTTATTATTTTCAATTTTTTAATATGATGTATTATTTTCTTTTCATTCCTTTTGATATTTTTATTAAAAAATTAGTTTAGCACCATAATTTGTAGTTTTATTAGTTGAAACTTGAAATTTTAGATTTACTTATGTAACTTAACTTTTAATAATTTAATTAGATTGTAAAATAATATGTTAGTGTTTATTGATTGTTTGAGATTTTGTTTTGGTAAAAAATAATGTATATCATAAACATTATTTTTCAAATACGGGTTGTAGAGTTAGATATATGTTATATATGTGAATCAATGTGGTAGTGAGAAATTAAACTGTTTAGGGTATTAATATGCTAAGTTTATACGGTTATTTATACATTAGTTGTATATATTTCTGCATTTATGATAACGTTTTTTTTTTGAACTTTCTAAAAAACAAAACTAGGAAGCTTTACTTTTAGCAAAATTAATTGGGAAAAATGTCAAAAAAATGCCGAATTTTCAAAATTACGCTATTTTAAGCCTGAACTATCGGTTGGTCCGTTTAAATAACGAACTTATTGTTGACTTAGCTTTAAATCACAAAGTTTTGTTGACTTAGCCAAATTAGGCACGTCGTTAAGTCGAGTAACAGACCGGTTTAACGGGGTCTAAATTCGTCGTTAAATCAATACGTTGACGTTCTGGTTTATGCTCAAAAACTCCAAATCGATCCAAAATCCCCAAATCGACATAATCTCTCAAACCCTAACATTTGAAATTCTCAAATCAGAACGAAAATCCCCAAATCCAGCATTTGATATCACCTCTTCTTTTGATTTCTTTTGATTTCTCATCTTTCTCATTCATCAATGGCTTCCTCTTCTGAACAATCATATGTCGGAAATGATCAACGTGGGTTCCCGTCGAAGTGTGTGTGTGGTTTAGGTGTAATGACTCTTACCTCTAAGACGCAGGAAAATCCAGGACGACCCTTTTTCCGTTGTATACACCAAAAAGACAAAAGCTTGATTACAAAAAAGAGAGATGTAAGTAGCTTAATTGATTTTGTTCTGTTTTGTTGTTTGTCTAAAAAAATCGAAACCCATTTGCGTATGTGTTTATGCAACAGGAACACTTGTTTAAGTGGGTTGAGGATGCGGTGTTTGAAGAAGTTGAAGATGCTTTACCAAGAATCAGAAGAATCGAATGTGAGATTGGCAATTCACAATCCGAGATTAGAGATGTGAAGGTGCTGATTGAAGGAGTAATGGAAGATGTAATAAGGAGCAAAATGGACATTCAGAAGTGGAAAGTGATGAACGCAATGTGTTTTGTCTACTTGTTCTTCATGACCTGTGTCATTATCAACTTGTGGATGGGCAAAGGAAATGAGACAAAACTTGTTCTTGGTAATTATTGTATTTGTCATTGTGACAATGGTCTGCTTTCTAGTTGAATGCATTGTGATCTCATTGGAATTGCTAAGTAGTTTGTTTTGTTTGTTATGACAATGGTCTACTTTCTAGTTGAGTTGCATTCAGATTTGTCATTGTAATCGGGTTTGGTCATGAATGAAATGCATTTTGGTAATGAATGATGTCTTTTGTCTTTTGTTATTGTCGTGAATGATTTCTTGTTTGTGTTGTTATCAATTGTGAGAAAACAAACCTGATTGTATGAAGGGCCAAATATAAATCAAATGATGCTCAAAATCATTCAACAAAATCAATATCATTCAAAATACCAACATAATCAAGCAAATCCGATACAAAATACCAACAAGAGCAAACAACAACATCATGAAAATATGATCCAGTCCAAAACATACAATATAAAAAATTCATAGAAGTTAGTTTGAACATCCGAACCATGAAGCCCAATCTTGTGATCCTTGACCTTGTGATCCTTGACCTTGGGATGCTTGAGCTTGTGATCCCTGACCTTGTGATGCTTGAGCTTGTGATCCTTGACCTTGTGATCCGTGAGCTTCTCTTCCCGATCCATGAGCTTGTCTTTGTGAACCGTGAGCTTGTCTTTGCGATCTGTTTTCTTTCGAAACTCTTTGTGGTTGCGACTGTGGTTGTGATGCTTGTGGTTGTGATGCTTGTGGTTGTGATGCTTGTGGCTGTGAGAGAGGTTCTGTTTCTGTTCCTTCTTGGTTTACCTACAAAACGTATATAATAGTATGACAGAACGAAATACACAAGACATAAAGGAACAGAAATTTTATCATCATCCCAAATTTCGTCGTCACTGTCTGCATCAGTCCCAGCTTCATCATCTCTTGCAGCCTCTCCAAAATATTCTGCTAAGTTTTTGCATTGTTCTTCTACAATTCCTCTTAACGCGTTTGTATTGTCTTCATCACCTCCATCGCTAACATCATCGCAATCATCATCACCAACAACTCCACAATCATCTTCGTCTTCAATTGCAAGCCTCTGGTGTTGAGATTCATCATCATCACCGGCTTCAACATCAACCTCTGCTTCTGGTTGTTTTGCTTTGTGCTTCGACTTCCATTTTTCTTCTTTCGATGGCATTTCATTTCAGTTAAGTGAGAAAAGAAGAAATTAAAACGAAGAAGCGTTTGAAAAAAGGAGAGGAGAAATCAAAAGAAATCAAAAAGAGACGTAAGAATTTTGTGTCAAATTTGGAATTTTGAGTATTAGGGTTCGAAATTGTATCGGATTTGGAGATTTTGTGTTGATTTGGGATTTTTGGAAAAAACCCACAACGATATCGTCTTGCTGTAATGGTCATTTTAAACGGCATTAGACCCTGTTAAACCGGTTTGTTACTCGACTTAACGACGTGCCTAATTTGGCTAAGTCAACAGAACTTTGTGATTTAAAGCTAAATCAACAATAAGTTCGTTATTTAAATGGACCAACCGATAGTTCAAGCTTAAATGACGTAATTTTGAAAATTAGGTATTTTTTGGCATTTTTCCCAAAATTAATCTTAAAAAGTAATGATGTGATTATTTGTTGGTAAGCGCACCGGCATACGGCACAGGAAGAAATAGAAGGATTACAAAGTAGAGTGTCGCTCGAGTAGATCGAGAAAGGTAGTTATATTTGGCGGCAAGTAGGGTTTTGACTTTGAGTTGTATTTTTAAAACGAACCTCGTATAAAACTGTCGTTTGAGTGAATTCCTCTTTGAGTGGGTAAGAGATCCCAGAGAGATTAGGGTTCATTTAACAGAACAAAATTTCGTTGAAATTAGTGTTTTTCTTTTTGGTCTTTGGTCCAGTATATTTAGCGAGAGACAAAGAGGAATTAACATGAGACTAAACCGTACAATATTCGATCTTTAGTGAAGTAGAAACCTCGTAATATGTTTAGTTTTTTTTCTTATTACCAGTGATTTGAATATGTGATTAAGTTTGCACGACGTTTTTATAACCACTTGATGAATCACACAACTAATACGATAGTACATTACAAAATTGCATTCACCGCACTAAATAGCAGAAAATGGTGGTGACCATTCACGCCTTAAATCTAACCTTATGTCGAGTCATTTTCAATGCAACATTCTATCTATGCTCATATGTATAGTATTATAGTTAATTGCGTAGTGTACGTGCCGCGTGCGTGTGCTCGGATCATACTAAGCAACTGTCAAACGAGGAACAATAAAAAAAGCGGCTAAAGACGAGAGAGACCGGACGAATAACCAATAACGTATAGTCCAGAAAAGTAGGGGTGAGCACAAAAACTATAACCGAAAAAATCAAACCATACCGAACCAAAAAAAGTGATATGGTTTGGTTATGGTTAAACCTAAAAATCTATTAGGCTATTATTTTTTTATAACTTTGGTTTATATTTGGTTTGGTTAAAAACCATCAAACTAAAAGGTTTTTTCGGTTTTTAAACTAAATTTTAAATAATTTATATTTTTCTAGTTTATTAATTTAGTTTAGGTATATATTTTATTATTTGGCTTAGTTATCTTTATAATTTACTATATATTATATTATTTGGCTTAGTTATCTTTATAATTTATTAACTTAACTCATAAATTTAAAATATAATATTTATAAAAAATATTTACATATAAATAATAAAGTAAACCTTAATTTTTTAATAAAGAAAAACATGATTAACTTTTTTTCTTCACATTCAAGTCTTCTAGTTCTAGTTCCAAGGTTATAGGTATTAAATTTTAATCTAGATTTGTTTATTGTTTTATAATTATTGATTATGAAAGATTTGATAATTTGTTTGTTTCTCTGTTTTGAAATCTATCCTTATTGATGAAATTTTTATGATTTAGATTCTATTTTTTGGATTTATTGTTTTATTTCATTCATATCTATTATTATTATTATTTCCATTAGTTTGAATCAAAAACAGTATAATTCCAAAAAACCGAAACCAAACCATATCAAACCGAACCGTAAAAAACCAAACCATACCGAACCGAAATATATATGGCTTTTATATGGTTTAAATTTTCGTAAAACCGATAAACTATAAAACTGAAGAAAACGAACCGAAACCAAACCAAAAACCGAAGTGCCCACCCTTACGGAAAAGAGCGAATGACTACAATATGAATTATGAATTACATTTACGTCACCTTTGTCTCTGGACGATAATTATTACCAAAACCTATTGATACAATACTTTAAAAAAAAAATCCAACACTTGTACGTACGTACGTATGTATATCACCTGTTTCCACATGTTGACGGGCCAAATAATCAGCTTTCAACACTTGGGCCACAACATGAGATGGGCATATCTGTGTAACAATTTTTGTTGAACTTTATTTTTTTTTGGAGGTCTCAATTTTTAAAATGAATGATTAATATTTACGTAAATGCCTATTTGGGTCGTCGAGTCACACGACCGGAGACGTGCAACAAGAGAGTTCCAGGGCAGATATTGGCTGGCATCTTCCAATCGTTAAAACAAAACCCTTCTTTCATTATCACGACACTGGGCCCCACCAACCACCATCTCCAATTTTTGTATTCATCTTCTCAAAATTATATTGCTCTTTGACATTTTTAATCCACACATTTTCTTCTATGTTTGACAGTCATTATCAAAATAGTTATACTATTTGTTAACCTAATTCTTCCTAAAAAGTGCGCTATATATAGTATGGACGGACGTAACGTAAGTTAAAAAATATGAGAGAAATCAATTGAATATGTGTTAGATATGAATTTAATAAAAAATAAAGCAAAATTTCGAAAACGACGAGTGCAAAACAAAGCCATGTGACGAAAGATATTTAAAAAAAAAAAATGAAAAAGCGGTGTAAGAAGTCAAACATACCCCTTTAGCAGAAGAGGAAAAAAAGCACACGCTTCACGTGCGACCGCACGTGCCAAACCCTTTGGCCTTTCTCCTTTCTTCTTCTTCCTTTCCGCATCCTTCGGACAAGAGAGCCCCAAGCAAAAGACAGAAGAAGAAAAGAAAGTAAAAAATAAAAATGGCGAGTCGGAAGAGAGAAGCACGCCATACCTGAGAGATTCGTGCGTCGAGAAAACATTTTTACTAATAATAATTATTATTGTCAATCGATGATACTAATAATTATTTGTTAATAAAAATACTATTAATTAAGGAAAGAAGATAGGAAAAATAAAAGTGGTGGTGGAGGTGTTTGATGGGTGCTAGTCACAGCGCCAACGTTAATAATCATTCTTCTCATCCTCATTCTCATTCTCGGAATACTTCTAATCATCTGACCAATAACTCTCGACAGTGTGGCACAAGTGATCGATTGTCTGTGAGCAATTTACGGTCCCAGCTCACAACTATTTACAGAAATCAGGAGGACGAAGAAGAAGAGGAGGAGGAGGAAGAAGAAGAAGGAGGAGGAGGAGGAGGAGGAAAAGAGAAAGCAGCAGAAGAAGAAGCGAGGAGATTCTCCCTTGTTAGAGATTTTGATCTCTCTGGTTTGAAGCGCATTAGGGTTCCAAGAAGGAATTATATTCAAATGGATCCTCATAAAAAGGTTCCTACTTTTCCTCTCCTTCTTGTTCTCTTGAAGAGCATTTCATAGAAAGCCTTCTGGGTGTTGGATCTGTGGTTTCTTTTTATCTGTTTGGTTTCTACAGATTCGAAATTGATTTTCGAACCTCATAGGTTTTGTTGCTTTTTGTATATATATATATTTTTTTTTATCTCTTGTCAATTTCTCCAACTACATTGGAATGAACAGTAGCAAATCATTGAATTAATTACTGGGTTTAAGCTATTAGATTGAAATGAGCGTCAATTTTGGGGATTCTTCCACAAATTTTTCTTGTGTTTGTCTTCTTAGAAAACGGTGGAAAATGTGATCATTCGGTGCTTTGTTACGAATTGACTAATGGAACTGTCAAAAACATTTGGTCAACAGGTCTCAGATGTCAATACTTCTATGTTGTTAGAAAATGCTACATTGTCTTTTTGGTCTCTCGGCTATGTATTGGGATTTTGATGCCTTCTGGTCTGGTCTGAATCTATGGTACCTTAGTAACATGTTGAGAAGATTTATGTGATCTCTAGAATTTGGGGAACTAGCTGAATTGCTGTATTGTTGATTTGGATTCTTCTTGACTATGTTTCCTTTGCATCGGCTCTGTATTGGTTTTTGATATCCATCATGAATCTAATACGTGTGATCTGTAGAATTTTGAGAGCGAGGCCATCTTCTTGACTAAGCTTTCAATATGCAATTTAATGGTGTCATGTTTGCACAAACACAGGTTGCATTGGAGACTGAGTTCTTTACAGAATACGGTGAAGCCAGCCGATACCAAATCCAAGAAGTTATAGGGAAAGGAAGTTACGGGGTTGTGGCTTCTGCAATCGACACGCATACGGGAGAAAAGGTCGCCATAAAGAAAATCAACGATGTCTTTGAGCACGTCTCTGATGCAACTCGGATTCTGAGAGAGATCAAGCTCCTCAGGTTGCTCCGGCATCCTGATATAGTGGAGATCAAGCACGTGATGCTTCCTCCTTCACGCCGTGAGTTCAGAGATATCTATGTTGTTTTCGAGCTGATGGAATCAGATCTTCACCAAGTTATCAAGGCGAACGATGATCTTACACCTGAGCATTACCAGTTTTTCCTTTACCAGCTTCTTCGTGGCCTGAAGTTTATTCACACAGGCAAGTGCATTTGCTTGTGTTACCTTAAGTCTCTTGGTCCCTTTACTTATTTTCTACTAAACCTGAAGATAACTTTTTGTTTTTTTTGCAGCCAATGTGTTTCACCGTGATTTGAAGCCCAAAAACATTCTAGCCAACTCTGATTGCAAGCTGAAGATTTGCGACTTTGGTCTTGCTCGTGTCTCGTTTAATGATGCACCTTCGGCTATATTCTGGACTGTATGTTAAGAGACTGAAATCATAATTTTGTTTTTTATTTTCATTTTCTTTAATTGATTCAAGTGTTGTGTACCAATGGTTTTGGCTTCTTTTGCAGGACTATGTCGCTACAAGATGGTACCGTGCTCCAGAACTTTGTGGTTCTTTCTTCTCCAAAGTAAAATTCAGTTTTCTATTACTTCCTTTCTGTACGAAAATTTACGTGACAATCTGAGGATTAAACTGTATATTATTTGTCCTTTCTCTGCTGTAGTATACTCCTGCCATAGATATATGGAGCATAGGATGCATATTTGCAGAAATGCTCACCGGGAAGCCATTGTTTCCTGGGAAGAACGTGGTGCACCAATTAGATATCATGACTGATTTGCTTGGTACTCCTCCACCCGAAGCTATTTCAAGGGTTAGTTGGCAATTGGATATTAGAGTGATGACATTACTAGACCAGGGTTGAAACAGCTTTTTATGTACTGTAATGATGAACTGATGATCAATGTTTTGTTTTGTTGCAGATTCGTAATGAAAAGGCGAGGAGATATCTCGGAAACATGAGGAGAAAACCGGCAGTTCCATTCACTCAAAAATTTCCTCATGTAGACCCGTTGGCCCTTCGCTTGCTGCACCGTCTTCTTGCATTTGACCCCAAAGACCGTCCCACTGCTGAAGAGGTAAAGCTCCTCTATACTATTTTTTTTATAGCGTTTGCACTTCAAAGTTTCAGACCAGTTTCAATCACTCTCAGACAAGGAAACGTTTATGAATACATGTGTGTGTATGTGTACAGGCACTGGCAGATCCTTACTTCCATGGTCTGGCAAACGTGGATCGGGAACCATCTACTCATCCGATTCCAAAACTTGAGTTTGAGTTTGAGAGAAGGAAGATAATGAAAGAAGATGTGAGAGAGTTGATCTACAGAGAGGTACACTATTCTCTTACTGTTTTTGCTTTGTTTGGGTTAGTTTATGCTCTGAACAATGGCAAAATGTATCCTTTTCCCCCACACTCATTCATAATGCTTACTTACAAAACTTGAATGTGAAACAATGCAGATATTAGAGTATCATCCTCAGATGCTGCAAGAGTATCTTAGAGGTGGAGAACAGACTAGCTTCATGTACCCAAGGTATACTATATACTATATAACATTTACAATACGTATTCAAAATTTTACTACGAATTAGGAAAAGTAAGATGAAGACTTTTGTTATTTAACTAAAAATGCAGTGGTGTTGATCGGTTTAAGAGACAATTTGCACATCTTGAGGAACATTACGGTAAGGGTGAGAGAAGCGCTCCTCTTCAACAACGACACGCTTCCTTGCCTAGGTACACAATTTCATTTCTTGGTTTGTTTGTGAAATTGATTTGAAAAGTTGTCAGACGCCGATGCTTATAAGTTATAACATCTGCATCATCACGTTCGTCGTGTTGTATTTCAGAGAGAGAGTCCCTGCTCCTAAGGAAGAGAATGGATCACACAACCACGATGCCGAGAACAGACCTGCAGCTTCTTTAGCCACGACACTCGAAAGTCAACACGAGGGCTCAGATCACGTTAATGGAACGAGCCAGACGGGATACAGTGCCCGAAGCTTGCTGAAGAGTGCCAGCATCAGTGCATCTAAATGCATCGGCGTGAAACAAAGAAACAAGTCCGAGGTAAAGAGCAAGAACCATTTCAAGATCGATATATTAATTACGTGTTTGTATAGATTTGTACTTCACATTCTTGATTTTTGCAGCACGGCGAATCGAACAATGATAAAGTTGATGGTTTGTCTCAAAAGGTCGAGGCTCTCCACATTTGATTCGGGATGTTGGGGACGTGAAACTAACAATAGACGGCTGCTTCTACACGTCATATATACACATCTCTCACAGAGAAGAAGAAGAAGAAGAAGAAGAAGAAGAAGAAGAAGAAGAAGAAGAAGAAGAAGAAGAGATGGTAGGTGTCTCTGGATACTTGAGGCTTGAGAGTTGAGACTAATCTTGATAGATACTGAGAAACACGAGTTATGAACAAACAACCTTAAACCTTCAATTTGTATTAAATGAATGGAATTATGGTTCTTCCTTCTCCAAGAAAAATTCCGGAAATGCCTCAGAAGTTTGGCTTTATTACATGTTAACCCCTTAATTTCCGTTAGACAAGTATTTGACCTTATCATCAGGTGTGAAAAATAAAAAAAGTTGAACTCTGTGTTGAATACATTTTCTTGACCCATAGACGCCATATATTTGTATGATGATCAGTTCATCCTCCAATGATATATAATCATTTTCATTGACTGTTCATTTTCTTCTTTTTGGTCGTCCCATTTGCTTTTTCTTTGTTCTCTTTCGGTTTACAAGTCGCTTTAGAGCTGGTGAAACTAGTGTTACCGATCATAAATAAAGTTTTAATTATCAAATTTAACTAGTGCACAATTCAATAATGTTTATGAATTTTTGTTCTTCAAGTTCAATAGAATCTATCCCAAATGACTGAATAATGCATATGTGTGATCGATATGACATCTCAGCACAGTGAGTTTATTAATCATCTACCATATGAAACTCAAATAGTAATCGTCTCTTGTCCTTGTGATGTAGATTGAGAATTTTGTGCCTGAGAATAAAAATAAAATCCATGTTGCATTTTTTATGGCGTTCCCGAAAAAGGGTTAGTAATATTTTAAGCAGCTTTCACTACAACCATTCGCGTGCCTGACGTTACCTTTTTAACATGGAGCTCCCACATAATTCTTTCTTTTTTCTTTTTTAGTTTTTACTGACCAAAAAGGATATTAAATAAGTTAATCGTCGTGCTCTGGTGGATTTTTAAATGTGTCTTTACTCAAATTCTGGTGGTATATGTTTTGGCAGAAACGAATATGACTATTTTAATTTAACAGGGAAAAAAATTAATTTGAGTTAAACAATTAGTTTTTTCTTCGGGTCACCGAGTTACACAACTAGCAACAAGATAAGGAAGAAAACAAAACGAAAAGAAAATTTAAAGGAAACTACAAAATAAAAGACAGAAAGGGCTTAAGAGTTCTTTTCCTTTTGAGATAACAACTAAGGGTAATTCGTTTTGCCATGGAAGTAAGCGAGAAGTTTGATACACCTCAAAAGCAATGTTTTGCTTAAAAATGACAAAACAGATAACTATATATAGATAGGCATCGTAGAAATTTACTTCATATTTCTGTTTTTCTTTTATGTGTAACTTGCGAAAAAATTATATGCATGGCATGGGTAAATTTATCTGCATTATGAGCTTATATGTTAATTCATAAAACCATATTCTGTTAATTTTTTCGATTATGCGAATTACATATCAAAACTATATAAAAAGTAAAACCTAAAAGAGTCCCTCCAAAAACCTTGATGTATTGGAATTACAACAAAACAACCAGTGAACCTGTCGATCAGTCACCTCTGTGATCTTTCAAGTTTCAATGCGAAAGAATAATCGTCCCGTGATTCACATATACTGTATTAGATTCCACTAATTAAGTTATTAATTCGCTATTAGTACTCTCATGTTTCTTATGAACTCATATAAACTAATTTTCAAGGATTTGCATGGATTACGATATCATTACTTATATTTATAATTTCTTAATAACTCCACAAAATAATATTATAAAGCAGCATAATCTTTCAACAAATTGATAAGAATGTTTGATGATTATTACTACAGTACGTATATGCAATAATGCAAATATACGAAACTCAGTTAAATTATATTAAAACCAATAAAAAATTTACAAAGTATTAAATTGGTATCGGGATCCCTTTTGTGATATTTTATTACACACATCTCTTCCACTCCCTCACTCTTTGTTCTCTCTCTCTCTCTATTTCTCTGTCTCCATTCTTCCGGCGATGTTCCAACACGCGCCGTCTTTCATTTCCCTCATCTTCTTCTTCACCATCCTCTTACCCGTTTCACCAAACCCGACCCAGACCCCAGACCCGATCACCGTCCAGCCATTTCGGGTCAAATCATCCCCACCCGCCACCATACCCGCTTTCCCGGAGCAATCCGATTTCTCCGGCTGCCCACTCGATTTACCAGAAGACCTCTTCCACGGAATCAAGTCCGCCTGTTCCGGCAAAAAGCTCCACAAGGGAAGATGCTGCCCCGTGCTAGGCGCGTGGCTTTACTCCGCTTACTCGACGACGGCTCTGAGCCGTTCGATTTCCGCCGCCGCGAGAAACGCATCCTCGGCCGTGACGACGCCTGAAGAAGATATGCCTTTGCTTCCCGACGACTCGGAGACCTGCGTGGACGGACTGGGGAAATCGCTGAGAAGGAGAGGGATTGAGCTCGCGAGGCCGAACGAGACTTGCGACGTCGTTTACTGCTACTGCGGAATCAGACTGCATCACTTGAGCTGTTCCGAGGCTTTTAGTGTGGACGAAGAAGGGAGGCTCGTCGGAGACGAGAGTGTTGATCGATTAGAGACTGATTGTTTGAGTGTTGGCCACAACAATGCGGATAGATTCTCTCCTCTCAGTGGCTGTAACAAGTGCTTGAACAGCCTCTATAAGGTAAATTTCAGCAACCTTTTTACTGCAGTACATACAAAAGTCCCTAGATTTTGGTGATGTGCTCTGCTTTGATTTGGAGATCAAATGGAATTACGTTTGGTTTTTCACTAGAATCAGAGTGTAAATCCAGTCAAATTTTGCTGCAAATATAGTAACTTTAGATAATCTTCTGATACCCTTGAGTGTTTTTGGTGTTTTAGTATCTAGATTTTTGTTTGGATTTAGTGATTAATAGTACTGTTTTTTGGATGATTAATGATGAATAATGTAGTAAACTATCTAATTAAGGTCTAGTCCAAAGTTGATAACTTTTCTTGAACGGTTGAACCATATAATGTATATAATGATCTTTGGTGTTTAACCATTTGAGTGTTTTTACTATATGAGTGATGATCAGTGAGTGAAGAAGATTTGGAATTATATGTTATAGGATTCTTTTTGATCTTTGCATCATCATCCTTGGCGAATGGCAATTTGGACAAGTTTTGTTCTTTAGCTTTTTGTTCTTTTTCTATCTGACAAGTCTGACACACACATCTACGCGCTTAAGATTTCGTGATCTCCACGCGACATTTCTTTCACCCATCATATGATTTCATTCTTCTGCATCTTAATCACCAACCCACCATAACTAAAAGCTTTTAGCCACTAGCGTCCGCTTTCTTACTTTTCTAAACTCCTACATCATTAGTATAGCAGCAAACCCTAATCGACACAAACAAACACTTTCTGGTATTTGTTGTTTTGCAGCTAAACCCAAAGAAAACTTCAGGGACAAGAAACCCATCCAAGGAAGACAGAAACAGAACAGCAAAGATGCACAACAAAGATTGTGTCCTCATGGGTCTCACTTGGCTTCTCGCTAAGAACCGTACGGCTTACTTCCCAACTGTCACTTCCGTCCTCCGAGCCGTCATGCTTAACCACGACGGCGAGCCACGGTCATGTTCTCTCGGCGGAGACGGCATGCCTTTAGCCGTCGACTCTTCTGAGTTCTCCAACGGCTCGTCCACTTCATTTCAGTCTCCGCACCACTACTTGGTCCACTTCTTACTTTACAGCGTCATCACATTAGTCTTACTATGGTCGTGGTGACTTACGCTGACGTGGGGTTGATTTTATGGTGACGTGGCATTTCTTATTGGATGAAAACAGAACAGTTAAGTGATATTCAGATAGAGAGAAGAGAGTGAGAGAGAGAGAGAGGGGATTGTCTTTCTGTCTTTGTAAATTAGTTTTGTTTGTGTTGTCGTTGTTGTTGTAGCCCATTTTATTATAAAATCGTATTTGCTTTTATCAAATTCAAATTTTTAAAAATTGTCAATTCACAGTTTCAGCTGTATTTTCGGCCGGATCAAATAATACGAGGGCGCAATCTCAAATAAGTTTGATATCATTTTTTTTTGGGGAGGAGAAGAATAATAGAGAAAGGCATGTGAGTGATGGGGACGAGGTGGTGTGGCTGGTTTGAGAGAGACAGGGAAATTTGTGACAGCTTTGTTCTTATGTTTCCTTATCTTCTCTCTAGCCACGGAAGAAGACGACTTATACACTACTATATAGTATATAATTGAGGATGTGACCAAGAGATGTTAAGCCCCACGACTGATATTTTATTTTGTCATATAGTTCATTATTGTGATATGTCATTCAAATATCGAGTTGTTTCCTTCATTAAAACTCTTCGATTTTCCACTCTTCACCTAAACGATAATATTATAAGAAAACTTCGGGTGTATATAGAACCATGATCAACATCTACCAATGCTAGTATGCAACTGCTAACGATTTTATTGGGTTCGCATTAATGCAAATATTTCTGGGTTGGGCTCCAATAACTAGCCCATGGGCCGTTTGTTTTCCTCTTTTAGAAGATATAAAATTGTGACTTGAATTTTTCGGTTTTTTTTTATTGGTCATTTTCACTTTTGTTGCAACTTCTGAAACCTCTTCACTAAAGTTGTGTTAATGAGCATATCTTTTCGTTGTTGTTAATAAATAACCAGATTTTTTACTTTATTTTTAGTTCCCAGAGAAGTACTGTAATACTGTTTGCGACAACACTGATCATTAACTTATTTCTTTTTGATTAAAAGAATTTAAAATAACAGCTAATGTCAAAAACTCAAAAGACTCAAAACCGTCCTTCCTTATTCTCCTCGTCTCTGTGTGGTCTCCTTCTTCTCTTACCTTCCTTCACGATCTTGTAAACCCAAAAAAAAAACACTCAAAACGATCTCTGTCATGGAGCTTGCCGAAACCTATGCCTGCGTTCCATCGACGGAGAGAGGTCGGGGAATCCTGATCTCCGGTGACCCCAAGTCTGACACCATCCTCTACACTAATGGTCGATCCGTCGTGATTCTCGACCTCAACAATCCCTTAAAGGTCTCTATCTATGGCGAGCATGCTTACCCAGCTACGGTGGCGCGATACTCCCCGAACGGAGAGTGGATCGCGTCGGGTGATGTATCGGGGACTGTTAGAATCTGGGGGGCTCACAACGATCATGTGCTTAAGAAGGAGTTTAAGGTTTTGGCTGGTCGGATCGATGATCTCCAGTGGTCAGCTGATGGGATGAGGATCGTAGCCTCCGGTGATGGGAAAGGAAAATCTCTCGTTCGTGCTTTCATGTGAGTTTTTTTTTCTCTGTGTGTGTGTGTTCTTAGATGAATTTGATTTTTCGTGCTTCGGAATTGAGAGAGAAAAGCTCAAATGAAGTTAAGTCTTCTCTAGCAGTGACTTCAAAATCTGTGATTTTTGGTAAAACGAAGGAGGAAAATGATCGAACTAAGCTGTTCGATGATTCGAATTCGAATCAAACCTTTCCGTTGACTTCGATCGATCAGGCCAAGATTTTGTTTTTTTTTGGTTTTCTGCTGGTATTGAAATTGAATTTGCTGAATCGGATCGAAACTCAGCTCACAAAAATCCACATAGAATTGAATTTGAGCATTCATTTCTTCAACCAAGTTATGCTGCATTGATTTTTTCTATACCCATTTGCCAGATTCTTGTTTCGATTGACTGGAAATTGCATAACGAAAGATATGACCTTTCTAATAGGTGGGATTCAGGATCAAACGTGGGAGAGTTTGATGGGCATTCTAGGCGTGTTCTTAGCTGCGCTATCAAGCCAACGAGACCCTTCCGCATCGTAACTTGTGGGGAGGATTTTCTGGTGAATTTCTACGAAGGTCCTCCTTTCAAGTTCAAGCTCTCAAGCAGGTTCAGATACTCAAAAACACATATGCTCACTTTCTTTAAAGAAAGACAATGTCTTTCTATGCATCTGTTCAGTTTCCTTGTTGTGTGTTTCCGAATTGTTTACGAGTTTTTTTTTGGTCAACAGAGAGCATTCCAACTTTGTCAACTGTGTGAGGTACGCACCAGATGGAAGTAAGTTCATCACTGTAAGCTCAGATAAAAAGGGAATCATATATGATGGAAAGACTTGTGAGAAGCTCGGAGAACTCTCATCTGACGATGGACATAAAGGTAGCATCTACGCTGTTAGCTGGAGTCCTGATGGTAGTCAGGTACTAAGGTTCTCAATTATTTTCTGATTCCGTCATGTTAGATATTTAGACTCAAGCCACATTAGGCTTGAATGTGGTCTGTTAGAATATCATATGCAGTTAATTGGTATAACCCGCTGCAAGCTACATAACTGTGGCCTAAAATTTTGACTGTTTATATGGAGACTCTATGTTATATACTTTTATTCTTGATTTCAATATGGTTGATGCGTCGTCTGTGCTCACGTGTTGTATATGTTTGATACATCAACCAGGTCCTCACTGTATCTGCTGATAAGTCAGCTAAAGTATGGGAAATCTCGGATAATGGTAACGGAACATTGAAGACCACATTGAATTGTCCTGGATCATCAGGTGGAGTGGACGATATGCTTGTCGGTTGTCTGTGGCAGAACGATCATATTGTCACTGTTTCTCTAGGTGGTACGATCAGCATATTCTCAGCAAGCGATCTTGATAAGTCCCCCTTTCAGTTTTCTGGACATATGAAGAACATCTCCTCCTTGTCCGTGCTCAAAGGAAACGCTGACTACATACTATCCGGTAGCTATGATGGTCTGATATGTAAATGGATGCTAGGCCGTGGTTTTTGCGGTAAATTGCAGCGGACACAAAACTCTCAAATCAAGTACTTTGCTGCTCATGAAGAAGAGATCGTGACCTCTGGATTTGACAATAAGGTAAACTGTTTTTCACACATTGGACTTGTCAACTTGATTTCTGCAATGTTCGAGTTTTGGTGTTTAGTGGATTCAAAGGACGAAACAATCAAATAAGTCTTTTCTTGAATAATGGTGATTTGGCGTGTAGGACTAAACATGCCTATAACATTTCGAAATGATTGGTGAATTAAGCAACTAACTCGCATTTTTTTTACTACGTGATACTTATCCAGATATCAAGGATTTCTTATAACGACGATCAATGCACAAACGAAGAGTCTATTGACATTGGAAACCAGCCAAAAGATCTAAGCCTTGCACCACTCTCACCGGATCTACTTCTGGTGACCTTTGAATCAGGAGTTGTGTTTCTCCGTGGTGAGAAAGTAGTGTCAACCATCAGCCTTGGGTTCACTGTCACTGCTTTGGCCGTAACACCCGATGGAACCGAAGCCATCATCGGTGGTCAAGACGGTAAACTCCATCTGTATTCTATCAACGGCGACTCCCTCACTGAGGAAGCAGTCCTTGAGAAACACAGAGGCGCCATCAGCGTCATACGTTACTCCCCAGATTTGTCTATGTTTGCGTCAGCTGATTTGAACAGAGAAGCGGTTGTATGGGACAGAGCCTCCAGAGAGGTAACTTGATCGCTTAAAGAATATTAGAACCTCTCCATGATTCTCCAAAACAAACACTGATCTTAAATAGTCTCTTTCTTTTTTTAAAAAACAGGTGAAACTCAAGAACATGTTGTACCATAGCGCCCGCGTAAACTGCTTAGCCTGGTCTCCAAACAGCACTATGGTTGCTACAGGATCCTTAGACACATGTGTGATTGTGTATGACGTGGACAAGCCTGCATCCACACGCATGACCATAAAAGGAGCTCACTTAGGTGGAGTTTATGGTCTTGGTTTTGCTGATGATTCCCATGTTGTGAGTTCTGGTGAAGATGCTTGTATCCGGGTTTGGAGCTTGACTCCTCAATAAGGCTGAGGTGTATATGATAAAGATCTCTCCTCTTGTCTCTCTTTGCAAAGCTTCTACTACTTTTGAAGGCTTTTTTTTGGATATCCGTTGGGCCGTGGCTGTGTTGTTGTGTGCGAATCTTTTTGTCTGCATATCTTTTGTCAAAAATATTACTTTTTTTTTATTTTTTGTCTGTCAATTTTTGTGAAAATGAGATCTTGAGTCGGATTTATGAATGATTTTGATATTTGATCTAATCAGTTCCGTTTCAGCGTTTCTCTTTAGTAAAATTGGTATTCTATTTCTCAAATGTCACGTAACGTATTTATTGATGCTGTGACCATCTCGCTGCATCATTATTACCAAGTTGAGATAAAATGTTTAGCATAATTTTCAGATTAGAGTATATTTTTTAATTAATTGTCTGATCAATCTCCACTACACTATTCTAAGCCTGAAGAGTGTGAAGACCGACATTGATACTCTCTAAATCTCGGTCACATCTTGATCTTGTCCCTTAGTGGCCCTCTCAATGTTTCTTTTTCTCCTCCTCCTCTCTGCTTCCGGCTCCGGCGATTCTTCACCGTCCGGAGACGGCCTCCCATTGGACACCGGCGGTGATCTTAGCAGAAAAAGTTTTCCGGAAGGATTCTTGTTTGGAACCGCCACGTCAGCATACCAGGTCGAAGGCGAGACTCATCAAGACGGTCGTGGCTCAAGCATCTGGGATGCCTTCGTCAAGATTCCTGGTTAATTTCACTATCGATTTTAATTACAAAACCACTTAACTGATTAATGTTAATCATTTCGACTTTTTATGTTTTGGCCACTGTAAAAAAAAAACAGGCAAGATTGCCAACAATGCCACGGCTGAGTTAACAGTGGACCAGTATCACCGTTACAAGGTAGGTACCATAGTCATTAATCTTTATAAAAAATTCATCGAATCATAACTATATGATTAATTTACAAGTGTGTACAATGTTCATGATAATCCCATATCAGGAAGATGTAGATTTGATGCAGACACTGAACTTCGATGCCTACAGATTTTCCATTTCGTGGTCCAGAATATTCCCTGGTATTGTTACTGTATTATAAATATAAATAACCACATTGCTTATATTTAAGATTTAAGATTAGTTTATAACTTCAAGCTTATGAATACAGAGGGAACCGGTGAAATCAACTGGAAAGGAGTTGCTTATTACAACAGATTGATCGATTACTTGATCCAAAAAGGTATAAACTTCATAAGCACGTAATTTGAATATTAAACTTTTTCTTTCCTTGTAATGAATATACTAAAATGCTTAGGGATTACACCGTATGCGAATCTCTACCACTACGATCTTCCTCTGGTCTTGGAACAAAAGTATCAAGGCTTGCTTAGTAGACAAGTAGTGTGAGCACCATCCTCTAATCTATCTTCTTTTCTTCCGTTTTTCTCTGCAAAATCTCCAAAAGTTGCAATCTATTGATATATTGTGGCAACATACAGGGAAGATTTTGCGGATTACGCAGAGTTTTGTTTCAAGACATTTGGAGATAGAGTGAAGAACTGGATGACATTCAACGAGCCACGTGTGGTAGCTGCTCTAGGTTATGATAACGGTATTTTCGCGCCGGCTAGATGCTCCAAAGCCTTTGGGAACTGCTCTGAAGGAAACTCTGCGACCGAACCTTACGTTGTTGCCCATCACCTTATCTTGGCACATGCATCAGCTGTCCAAAGATATCGCCAAAATTATCAGGTATATATGTATAATAATAACTCTATAGGCTCCTTTTTTGTATATATAAATGATGACTTAGCTTTGGACCGATTAAATTATCAGGAGAAACAAAAGGGAAGGATTGGGATTCTTCTTGATTTCGTTTGGTTCGAGCCTCTTACAAATGCTGAAGCAGACAGTGACGCTGCTCAGAGAGCAAGAGACTTCCATGTCGGATGGTAAAGGTTCAAGCTTTTGGACGTGTTTAACACTCACTCATTGTACCGTTACAATTTAGTGAGCTTATAAAATTATTTTGGTTCTTAATTATGGGTAACTTTCAAAGGTTCATTCACCCAATAGTGTATGGAGAGTATCCGAAGACGATGCAGAACATTGTGAAGGAGAGGCTTCCAAGATTCACGGAAGAAGAAGTGAAGATGGTGAAAGGTTCCATGGATTTTGTGGGAATTAACCAATACACGACTTATTTCATGTCCGATCCACACCTCACCACCAAACCTAAGGATTTGGGTTATCAACAAGATTGGAACGTCGCTTTCAACTGTAAGTCTTGTTCATCATATATTGACGAATGATCTCGTATTGTATAGTTTTGAACATGTTACTAATTAGATAAGTTAAAAAAAAAATGTTAATGTGAGAGAAACCATCTAGACTTATGGGATTGGATTGTGACAATATGTAGCAAATTATATAAATCAGTTGCATACTGAGAAATCTAAATCTCCTCACATGCAGTTGCAAAGGATGGGAAACCAATAGGTCCAAGGGTGAGTAATGAAATGATCTCATTTGATTTTTCTTAACTCTCCCGTTGTGTATGATATTATGAATTAATTTTATACAGGCACATTCAGAATGGTTATACAATGTACCATGGGGAATGTACAAGGCCTTGATGTATATAAAGGAACGTTATGGCAACCCAACTATGATTCTCTCTGAAAATGGTATCAGCAAGATCAATATCTCTTTCTTTGTAAAATTTATACAAATATTCAGTGCTGAAATTCGAGTATATATATAATCTTTATAGGTATGGATGATCCAGGCAGCATTACTATAGCTCAAGGACTAAATGATACAACAAGAATCACATATTACAGAGACTACTTAACGCAGCTTAAAAATGCCGTAAATGATGGAGCCAATGTAACTGGATATTTCGCATGGTCATTGCTTGATAATTTTGAATGGTTATCTGGATATACTTCAAGGTACAAACAAAAGTAAACTAATGAATCTACATTTTTTGTTATTTTTTTGTGTGTGATAATATGTTAGTATGTTCTAATACCCCCTTTTGTTTAGGTTTGGAATTGTGTACGTTGACTATAACGACTTGAAAAGATATCCCAAGATGTCTGCTTTATGGTTTAGACAACTTTTAAAACGGGACCAAGAGTGAGCTCAATGTGTGTCCATGATGAGATTTTGATTTGAAGGATTGGAATTGATTGCTAAAGAAGGAAACTATGGGGTCTTTTTTAATCACTTTTCTCTATTGTGTAACTTGAGTTTTCCATTTGATTTTCCAGCACTAATTAAAAAAATTCAGCTAAAAAATTTCTACTTGTGTATACTTTGTAACTTTCAATAATGTGTACGACGTTTTACACTGCATTTTCCATCCTCAATATTGCATGCAAAAAAAAAAAAAGATGCTACATTGCCTTTTAGACTCAGTCGTGCGGTGTAATCATTCCTCTACGTATACCGTATACGGCCAAAAATAGAATCATAAAACACGGGGACGATACACACATTATTATCAGATTAATAATCAAGATTTTGAAATTTGGGCGTTTGCATTTGCGTACAGAATTAAACCTACCTCTCTAATTTTATTTAAATAAATTTAGAGAGGTAGGAAGAGAACGTTTTCACGTGAAGCTTGTGGGGGCAAGCGTAAGAAAGTGGGGCATGGTCCTGTCTCGGGGACTGAACTTAATGGTTTGTGATTTGACACTTGCCCTTGTCCACTTCTGTTTTAGCTTTGGCGCTTTACGATTCGCGTGATGACTTAACATTCCATAAGAGCAAATATGTATATAAGATCATATAAGTTACAACTTACAAATTTACAACACGCTTAGTCAATATATATACTATGTTTGTTATATGGAACAAAATCATGTATTATTGGCAGCAACATATTTAAATAAATACTACAAAATTGTCATCATCTTTATTTCTTTTTGAAGTTGTTAATTTCTTTCAAATCTTTTACCGAATTTCCTATATTTTTTTAAAAGGGAGTTATGTTATTTTTCAGTTATGAAAATCTGAATTGGTATATGTAATCTAACCTTATTTCATTGTTCATAATGTAAATAATTTTTCAATTGATTTATCAAGTATTCCAATTGCTTACAACTCTGCCAGTTTTGTCACAAAACAGATCCAACATTCATTAAGAAAAGATTTAATAAATCATAAAGTATTTAAAACCCATTTTAAAATCAATCTATAGTCTTATCTAAATGGTGCATAGTCGCTGATTTCCATCCTTTCATATTTATGCAATCGTTCAAAACAATGGCCTAAAAAAGCCTATAAAAATCCATCCAATTTAATCATTTATACAAACCAAACAATTAAAGCTCACTCACACTATGAGACACCTCATCGCACCTCCGTGGCCTCTCCTTCTTCTCCTCCTCCTCTCTTCTCTCAGCTCCGGCGAGTCCTCGCTGTTCGAAGAAAAAGTCAAACTCGACACTGGCGGTCTCACTAGACATAGTTTCCCAAAGGGGTTCGTGTTCGGAACCGCCACGTCAGCTTATCAGGTCGAAGGCGAGACTCACCAAGACGGTCGCGGGCCAAGCATTTGGGACGCTTTCGTCAAAATTCCTGGTAAATTACAGTTTAATCAATTTAGTTACATGTAATTAATCATTGATTAATCAACAGTAATATAAACAAAATAAACAGGAACTATCGCCAAGAATGCCACGGCTGAGATAACAGTGGATCAGTATCACCGTTACAAGGTATTACTAAACTACTAATCTTAGAGATTCAGATATATTTTTCTTGAATCATTATAAAGTGTTACAATTTGATTTACATGTGTTCATAATTAATCATATTTCAGGAAGATGTGGATTTGATGAAGAATCTGAACTTCGATGCTTATAGATTTTCCATTTCATGGTCCAGAATATTCCCTGGTATTACTATATAAATTTACAGATTGCATAAAGTTAAGCAGAAAAAAGAAAGGATTAGCATATAACTTTAAGGTTATGAGTATTGCAGAGGGAGCCGGTAAAATCAACTGGAAAGGAGTTGCTTATTACGACAGATTGATCGATAACTTGATCCAAAAAGGTATAAAATCATAATAAGTCGTATGCAAAGAAATTTGATTACAGAATAAACTCTAAGGAATATAATTTAATTAATGCTTATAGGGATTACACCGTATGCAAATCTGTACCACTACGATCTTCCATTGGCTTTGGAAAAGAAATATAAAGGCTTGCTTGGTAAACAAGTTGTGTAAGTACCAACCTTCAACTCTATATTTACTTTTTTGTGTGTGTGTGTGTGTTTGTCTCAATTGCAAATTAACCAACAAACTTTGATTGATGCAAACTTGCAGGAAAGATTTTGCGGATTACGCGGACTTTTGTTTCAAGACATTTGGAGATAGAGTGAAGAACTGGATGACATTCAATGAGCCACGTGTAGTAGCTGCTTTAGGTTATGATAATGGTATATTTGCGCCGGGACGATGCTCTAAAGCATATGGAAATTGCACAAAAGGAAACTCTGCGACTGAGCCATACATTGTTACTCATCACCTTATCTTGGCCCACGCATCAGCCGTCCAAAGATACCGCAAATATTACCAAGTAAACAGTAATTTTTTAGATGTGATATGATGAAATCTACATAACCTTTTGTTGTCAAACTAATTATAATGAAAATGTTCAGGAGAAACAAAAGGGAAGAATTGGGATTCTTCTAGATTTCGTTTGGTACGAGCCTCTTACTAGAAGTACAGCAGATAACTATGCAGCTCAAAGGGCAAGAGACTTCCATATCGGATGGTAAAAATTTCAAAACTTTTAAAACATTTTTTTTACCATTAGTTTTTACTTGTTGTTGTTTGTGAGCTTACAAGAATACTTTTGTTTGTTGCGGGTATCAAATGTTTGTAGGTTTATTCACCCATTAGTATATGGAGAGTATCCAAAGACAATGCAGTATACCGTGAAAGAGAGGCTACCAAAATTCACGGAGGAAGAAGTGAAAATGGTGAAAGGTTCCATAGATTTCGTGGGAATCAACCAATACACGACTTATTACATGTCAGATACTCATAATTCCACCATACCTAAGGAATTAGGTTACCAACAAGATTGGAACGTCACTTTTGGCTGTAAGTTCTTGAAACATTCCATATGAAATCTGTAGTTTTTAAATTTTATTTACAATTTTTTTTTACTCTTCTATTTATACACTTGCAGTTGCTAAGTTGGGGAAGCCAATCGGTCCAAGAGTGAGTTGTGCATGGTTTTTGCGATTACTTTTTTATTTATTTTATTTCTCTAATTAAATCTGAATTATAAATTTATCCCATTTACTGCCATTACCATAGGCATACTCGAATTGGTTATACGACGTGCCATGGGGAATGTACAAGGCCTTGATGTACATGAAGGAGCGTTACGGCAACCCAACTATGATTCTCTCCGAAAACGGTATTAAAGAATCCAAAAATCTCTAATTATACTGTATTCCCAAGATTTATGGAAGTTTTATAAACCGTTTGAAAATATCTTATAGGCATGGATGATCCGGGAAACGTTACGCTAGCTCAAGGACTACACGACACGACGAGAATCAAGTATTACAAAGACTACTTAACTCAACTTAAGAAGGCGGTTGATGATGGAGCCAATGTGAAGGGATATTTCGCGTGGTCGTTGCTTGATAATTTCGAATGGTTGTCCGGATATACTTCAAGGTACGTGTTAGCTAACTAAATCATGATATATAGTTCTGACAAAATTATAAGCATTGTCCTAAATGTAATTTTTTCTTTCCTTAATTGTATATAGGTTCGGGATCGTTTATGTTGATTACAAAACCTTGAAGAGGTACCCCAAGATGTCTGCTCAATGGTTTAAGCAACTTCTGAAACGAAACAAGAAATGATCTTAAATATGTTTTCATGGATGCATTTAGATTTTAAGGTGTTGGAATTACTATTGACAGAAGGTCGATTTAATTATATTGTTGTCTGTACTTTTAATAAGGGGTGGATTGTATACCTCGAAGAACTCTCTCTCCTTCTTTGACTTTTCAATGGAAATAAAAAAAGGTCAAACATCCATGCAAAAAACTTGGCTATTGTATTTCTTGTACTGTAGATTTTACAATATATGAAAAAAATATCCTTAATTCGAATGCAAATGCAAGCGAACAAAGGGTTTATTAGCTAAATAAACTCATACAAAGGGTTTATTTTCCCGCATTGTTAGCTAAATAATCTCATAATCTTACACAAAAGAAGAGAGAATAATGGTCTCTGTTAGTCAAAATATGGAGGAGCTTATTTTCATCTTATCTGGTTAATTGAAAACATGCAAGGAGAGTATAGCTGCAAATTGACATATATAACCCTTTGTCCATGGAACTAATTTAAGGCTAAAAGTCATCAGAAGGGTATATCCGTCATTTCGAAGGGACACTCTGATTTCTTCACTCCTCGTCGGGCACTCGACACAGTTTCCGTTCAACGTTTAGACAAGGGTTTTTTTCACTCTCATCGTCTTCAGCAAATTTCCGGCGACGTTGTGCTCTCCGCTCTCCCTCACCACCGCCGTTTTACTCAGCTATTTCACTCAGCTGTCTCACTCCGCCGTTTCACTAAGCTGTTTCACTCCGCCGTTTCTTTTTTTTTTTTTTTTTTTTTGAAAATCACTCCGCCGTTTCACTCCGTCGTTTCACTCAGCTGTTTCACTTCGTCGTTAAGGTACATATTTTTTTCGAAATACGCTACGAATCTGCTTTTTAAACCTTGAAATTCCCAAAGATTATACTTTTGTAAGAAATACGCCATGAATCTGCTTTTTAAAGCTTGAAATTCCCAAAGATTATGCCTTTGTTTACAATCCCGTGTTTTGGAGAAAGTTTTTTCGTTTCTGGTGAAAAGTTTGATTGCATCATAGATCATCACATGCGTTTGCGTAGGACATGATTTTAGGTCTCCTTAATCATTTGTCTGTCTTCGTTTGGGGTTTTGCTTCCGTTTCTTACAGTTATGGCAGAGATGGATATTGACGAGATGGACATTAGAGAGATTGAGGATGCTGGGGAGATCAGTCTGTCTGAGCTTGGAGAACATTTTCTCCAGAACTTCTGCAAGAAAGCCGCCACATCCTTCTTCGATGAGTATGGGCTTATAAGTCATCAGCTCAACTCCTACAACTTCTTCATCGAGCACGGGCTTCAACATTTGTTTCAATCCTTCGGCGAGATGCTAGTGGAGCCTTCTTTTGATGCTACGAAGAACAAGGAGCATGATTGGAGGTACGCGACGGTGAAGTTCGGAGAAGTCACCATTGAGAAGCCCTCTTTCTATTCGGATGACAAGGAGCTTGAGCTCCTCCCATGGCACGCGAGGCTGCAGAACATGACCTATTCTGCTCGCATGACTGTGAACGTCGAAGTCGAGGTAAGGAAACTAACAAACTTTCGATCAAGTTTCTGTTTTGATGTTAGTTTGTTGTGTAACTGCGTCTTCAATTCATAAATGGACTAGGTGTTTGTTCAAAAAGTGGTCAAGAGAGACAAGTTCAAGACGGGACAAGACGAAACTGTGGAGAAGCAGATACTGCATAAGAGGAGTCAGGGCATTCCGATTGGCAGGATACCCGTGATGGTGAAGTCTGTTCTCTGCAACACAGTGGGAAAAGGGAAGAATGGGGAAGAAGACCACAACAAGGGTGATTGTGCATTCGATCAAGGTGGCTACTTTGTGATAAAGGGAGCTGAGAAGGTGAGTTTTTTTGTTATAGTTAGGCTGTTATGCAAGTTCGTAAGATGAATATGTTGTGTGTTTGCAGGTCTTTATTGCTCAAGAACAGATGTGCACAAAGAGACTGTGGATCTCTAAATCCCCATGGACAGTCTCGTACCGGTCCGAAACCAAAAGAAACAGGTTCATTGTGCGCCTGGGAGAGAATCAGAAAGCAGAAGACTACAAGAGAAGGGAGAAAGTACTGACGGTGTACTTCTTGTCTACTGAGATCCCAGTATGGATTCTGTTCTTTGCACTTGGCGTTTCTTCCGACAAAGAGGCGTTCGATCTTATAGCGTTTGATGGTGATGATGCAAGCATCACCAACAGTCTAATAGCTTCGATCCATGAAGCTGATGCCGTCTGCGAAGCTTTTCGCTATGGGACCAATGCTCTAGCGTTTGTTGAAAAGCAGATCAAGAGCACCCAGTTCCCACCTGACGAAAGTGTGGAGGACTGCCTGCGTCTCTACTTGTTTCCAAGCCTCAAAGGTTTGAAGCAGAAAGCACGGTTCCTGGGCTACATGGTGAAGTGCTTGTTCAGCGCTTTTGCTGGGAAAAGAAAATGTGAGAATAGGGACAGCTTCAGGAACAAGAGGATTGAGCTAGCTGGAGAACTGTTGGAGAGGGAGATAAGGGTGCATCTGGCACATGCTAGAAGATCAATGACCAAGGCCATGCAGAGACACCTCACAGGCGATGGCGATTTGAAGCCCATTGAGCACTATTTAGATGCATCGATTATCACAAATGGGCTAAGTAGAGCCTTCTCCACTGGAGCATGGTCTCATCCTTTCAGGAAGATGGAAAGAGTTTCAGGTGTCGTAGCCAATCTGGGCCGTGCAAATCCACTGCAGACTCTGATTGATCTGAGGAGAACGCGACAGCAAGTTCTCTATACCGGCAAGGTTGGAGATGCTAGATATCCGTAAGTGACATTTCCACCTCTCTTGCTTTGTTTTAAACTATGCTGTATGGTCTGCATTTGCTTAATTTTTTATGTCTTCAAACTGTTTATCTGATATTCGTATTAACTTATTTCATTTAGCTTATGATGGTAACCACTACTTCCTGCAGAATCACATCTGTGTTTGTTCCAGATTATACTGATTTTGTATAAATGATACTGTCTTTCTTGTTTCTTTTTCCCTTCGTCACTTGTGTATTTTACCTGATGTCAACATCGAGATTATCCATTTTGGTTACTTTCTAATGAGAGTAGTTAAAACAATTGAATCGTTTTGGGAACTTAACATTGATTGCGTTGTTTGTAATGTTGGCCACAGGCATCCCTCTCACTGGGGCAGGGTATGCTTTTTGTCAACCCCAGATGGTGAAAATTGCGGTCTTGTGAAGAACATGTCTCTCCTTGGACTTGTTAGCACTCAGATTTTGGAGCCTGTGGTGGAAAACCTCTTTGCTTGTGGAATGGAAGAGCTGGTGGACGATACCATCACATCTCTGTGTGGGAAACAGAAAGTTCTTGTCAATGGAGACTGGGTTGGAGTATGTTCAGATCCTGAATCCTTTGTTGCGGAGTTAAGAAGCAGGCGTCGTCAGCGTGAACTACCTCGTCAGGTATCTTCTGTTTCATCAAATGCCTGTGTTATTTCGATATTCTTGCGGCGCTGCTTCTTGGTATTTACCTTGGATTTTTTCCTGCTTCACAAATGTGTCTACTTGCAGATGGAGATCAAGCGAGATAAAGATGACAATGAGGTGAGGATATTCACTGACGCTGGCAGACTACTCCGACCTCTCTTGGTTGTGGAGAATCTCCACAAGCTGAAGCAAGAAAAGCCTGCACAGTATTCCTTCGACCATCTTCTTGACCAAGGGATTCTGGAGCTGGTCGGTATTGAGGAAGAAGAAGACTGTAACGCAGCATGGGGAATCAAACAGCTTCTGGAGGAACCTGAGAATTACACACACTGCGAACTGGACATGTCCTTCCTGCTGGGTGTGAGCTGTGCGATTGTCCCATTTGCAAATCACGATCATGGGAGGAGAGTTCTGTACCAATCACAGAAGCATTGCCAACAAGCGATTGGGTTCTCATCAACGCACCCTGACACCCGCTGTGATACGCTGTCCCAGCAGCTGTTCTATCCCCAGAAGCCGCTTTTCAAGACATTGGCGTCTGAGTGTTTGCAGAAAGAAGTGCTCTTTAATGGCCAGAACGCAATCGTTGCTGTGAATGTTCATCTCGGGTACAACCAGGAGGATTCGATTGTGATGAACAAGGCTTCAATGGAACGCGGTATGTTCCGCTCGGAGCAGATCAGGAGCTACAAAGCGGATGTTGATAGCAGGGACTCGGAGAAGAGGAAGAAGATGGATGAGCTGGTGCAGTTCGGAAAGACACACAGCAGAATCGGAAGAGTAGACAGCCTCGATGACGACGGGTTCCCTTTTATTGGTGCTAATATGCACAGTGGCGATATTGTCATCGGCAGATGTACCGAGTCTGGGGCTGATCACAGTGTAAAGCTCAAGCACACCGAGAGAGGGATTGTGCAAAAGGTGGTATTGTCATCTAATGACGATGGGAAGAACTTTGCTGTTGTTTCTCTGAGACAGGTAAGCTTTCAGATCATACTGAAGTGAGAGCTGTCTTTCAGATAACTCAGAGTTATTGTAAATGTCTATTGATCTGTCTTTAACATCTCGCAGGTTCGTTCTCCATGTCTTGGAGATAAATTCTCCAGTATGCATGGCCAGAAGGGTGTGTTAGGGTATATAGAGGAGCAGGAGAACTTTCCGTTCACGATGCAAGGCATAGTTCCTGATATTGTGATAAACCCACACGCTTTCCCGTCTAGGCAAACACCGGGCCAACTCTTGGAGGCTGCGCTCTCCAAAGGAATAGCTTGTCCCATCCTGAAGAAGAAGGGTAGCTCTGATGCGTACACCAAACTGACTCGTCATGCCACTCCTTTCTCCACTCCCAGCGTCAGTGAAATAACCGACCAGCTTCACAGGTACTTTCTTCACACTGTCACTTGGTTTTAGCAATGCATACAAAAGATTGAAACAGTACAGGGCTTGATGATACAATGAGTATGAGGTCAATAGGCATGCTATGTAACTGATCAACATTTGCTTGTGAGTGATTTGGCTTGTGATAATGTGGTGAATCTTTGTCAGGGCTGGGTTTTCAAGATGGGGAAACGAAAGAGTCTACAACGGAAGAACAGGAGAGATGATGCGTTCACTCATCTTCATGGGCCCAACTTTCTACCAGAGACTTATCCACATGTCAGAGGACAAGGTCAAGTTCAGAAACACCGGACCAGTTCACCCGCTCACACGCCAGCCAGTCGCAGACAGAAAGCGGTTCGGCGGAATCAAGTTTGGAGAGATGGAGCGAGACTGCCTCATAGCACATGGAGCTTCTGCGAATCTGCACGAGCGTCTCTTCACTCTGAGTGACTCCTCGCAGATGCACATCTGCAGGAACTGTCAGAACGTGGCGAATGTGATCGAGAGGGCAGCGAGCAGCGGAAGAAAGATCAGAGGGCCATACTGCAGAGTGTGCGAGTCGCCGGACCATGTGGTGAGGGCTTGTGTGCCGTACGGAGCAAAGCTGCTGTATCAGGAGCTATTCAGCATGGGCATCTCTCTCAACTTCGACACCACACTCTGCTGATTTCCCATCACTTGTTGGTAAATAAGTATGGCTTCGAGCCTTAGACCATGTTTATCTCTAGTTTTAACCTTCATGTTATGTGTAGTTTGATTCGGTTCCTCCTTTTGAATTGTTCCTTGCTTCCTTTTCTGTGAGCTTTGACTCTTAACCGAATCATATAATCGGTCTAGTCTCCAACCGGCTTGTATAGTCCGGGTTTCTTTGATTGCTGATTTAATTATCGCTAATCAAACCGCATTACTACTGTATTACAATTAAATCAACTAGGCTCGATCCGATTTGACCCGTTTACATCTGATGCTGCCGTTAAATGGTTCAGAGACCCATAAATAAGCCTTAATTTTTCGGGAAAGAAAGAATTAACTTTTCATCCATCCTCTTCATCTTTTCCGGCGAGCATAACACAAAGGTGCTATAAACCTTTCTCTTGCAGCCGTTTTTTTGCTTTCTTCTGTTCAGTTTCAAATTCGATCAATTTCTCTCGCCTATAGCCGTTTTTCTTCTTTCCTGTAACGCGATGAATCGGGAAAGCCTGTACGAGTCTGACGACGATGACGACGATGAAGAAGAAGACGATATTGGTGAAGATCTCGAAGACTTAAGACTCGCCTGTATTGCCTCCGAGGCGAATTCCGACGACGTTATCGCCAAAACCGGTTCTGTTGGAGCGGATGGAGGCGGCGGCGACGGCGGAGGGATACCGTCGGATTCGGAGAACGAAGACGACTTCGAGATGCTTCGGAGTATAAAGAGCCAATTAGCTTCGTCGTCAGAATTGAGAGATGATCCTCCCTTGGGTTTATCAGATTCTGAGAGTGAAGACGACTTGGAGATGCTTCGGAGCATCAAGAGCCAATTATCATTGTCGATGGATGCGTGCGTTCCGCCGATGAGTTTATCCGACGACGAAGAAGATGATGCGCTTGAAACACTTCGCGCCATTCGTAGGAGATATTCTGCTTATGCAAAGTTCGGTAAGCTCAAAGAAACTTGTTTGCTTTCCTCTCTGGGTTTTAGCTACTGATTCGTTAGATATTTTGTTTCTGTGTGTTCATCACCTTTGAAAATTGGTTCTATGCTTCAAGTGATTAAGATGGTTTTGCGGCTGCTAAGATTAATTCGGTGCTCTTCGATTTCACAGTTGAAAGCTAGTCATAAGTCTCTACATCGAAGCTATACTCATTGTGATTTGCTTTTAACATTCCCTTTATGCATATCGTACTGTTCTTAATGGAATTAGGTAGAAGCTCTCTCTTCTTATGTTTGATTGTAGATATGACTTGAAAGACATTATTGATGCTGCAGTAGTCCACACAATTTTATGATGGATTCATGATGCAAGTATTTGGAATTGCTTGTCTTTTTTTATCTGGTTTCAAGTGAGAATTTGTATGCACAGTCGCATGTCTTTTGTCTTTGTAGAATATGCAAATGCTAATAGTGGTGACTTTTATCTGTTTTCTTGCAGACGCAGATGATAATTTGATGAATGATTCTCCCGGGAAGAAAAAGCAGGTACATGCCTCGGACAATGAACCTTCAAGCGAAATATTGAGTAGATCTAATACTTGTGAAAGCTTGCCAGATCACGGGAAATCAGTTGGCGCAGTGCCAGATTCAGAAGCTGGCCATTCTGTTGATGAACACTCTTCTCTTCTGCCACCTGCGAGCTCAAGCTTCCCTGAATCTGCACGAGCCTTTGTTGATGCCATCAGGAAGAACAGGTCATACCAGAAATTTCTTCGGAAAAAACTGACCGACATTGAAGCGATGATCGCGCGGAACGAGAAACACGCGAAAAATGTCAAGATAGTACAAGACTTTCAAGCTTCTTGCAAGAGGATCACTAAGCAGGCACTTTCTCAGAGGAAAGATCTTCGTGTGGAGTTGATCTCAGCACGAAAATATAGGACTTCTGATAGCTCCGAGGTAACGCACTTTGATCTAGTGTTTTCCTGTTGCTGCTGTTATCTTTAGAGATGTGCTTCTTCAGTTTTTTTCTTTCTATCGACCCTGATGGGAAAATGTTTCTTATCTTTGTTTCTCTGTTTTGTTTTTGCAGGGTAATGGTAAGAAGCTGTTGACAATGGGTCCACCGGAAAACGCTTCTGTTGCAAACTATAGGATGATGCTAGGGAAACATCCAGTTTTAGTGGATCGCAGAAATTGGTCTCCTGAGGAGAATGACAATCTTGCAAAAGGTCTGAAGCAACAAGTTCAAGAAACACTGCTTAACGAAGCTATTGAACGGTCCAGGTACTACTTGCTCTTCCTCTTTTAAAGTGCTATTCAGCTGCAGAATTAGTTTAAGTTTCTTCCTTTTCAAATTTCCGAAAGAATTGATTGACAACAATTTTTTATCAGTGACTTGGAAGGATCTTCACGTGATATAGGCACCATTAATGAGTCCATCAAGAATCTAGAGATCACACCAGAAATGATTCGGCAATTTCTTCCGAATGTTAACTGGGATCAGTTGGCCTCGACATATATCAAGGACCGGTCTGCTGCAGAATGTGAAGCGCGGTAAGTTCTTCCTCTGGTTTAAGTAGACTCCAAAAAAAGAAAGATCAGATTTCAATTATCTATGGATGCACATTTCATTGCATTTCTTCTCTTCATCTTAGAATTTGATAGGGTTTTCTGTAACTTGTGATGCAGTTGGATGAGCTCTGAAGATCCATTGATCAACCATGGTCCATGGACTGCAGGAGAGGATAGTAACCTACGGATACTTGTCCAAGAAAAGAGTCTTAGAGATTGGCTCGACATTGCTCTTTCCCTAGGTACAAATAGGACTCCATTTCAGTGTTTAGCTAGATATCAGAGGAGCTTAAATCCAGACATATTGAAAAAAGAATGGACCTCAGAGGAAGATGAGCAACTCCGCGCTGCAGTAGACTTGTATGGCGAAAAAGACTGGCAATCTGTTGCAAATGCATTAGAAGGAAGAACTGGAACTCAGTGCTCTAATAGGTCAGTTTTATCTTCTACATCCACCCATCAAGTCCATGTTTATATCATAACCTCGACGTGCAGTCATTGATGATAATCCTGTAGGATTTAGAATGCGTTACAGGTCATTGTTATGATACTCGTTTGTGTCTGAATTATGATACCTAATCGAATGGTTGATCTTATTCTCTTCTTCTTCACTACACTTTCAGATGGAAAAAGACGCTTCACCCTAGCAGACAAAAAGTAGGGAAATGGAACGCAGAGGAGAACAAACGTCTGACAGTAGCTGTGACACTCTTTGGTGCTAAAAACTGGCATAAAATTGCTCAGTTTGTTCCTGGACGGACCCAGGTTCAGTGTCGAGAGAGATGGACAAATAGTTTGGATCCCAAGTTAGTTCATGGGAAGTGGACCAAGGAAGAGGATGCAAAGTTGAGAGAAGCAATTACAGAACATGGATATAATTGCTGGGCCAAAGTCGCTTTACATTTGCCTCCTCGTACTGACAATCAATGCCGGAGGAGATGGATGCATTTATATCCTCACCAAGTGCCTATTGTAAAAGAAGCTCTAAGGTTACGAAAAGAAGCTATTGTAGGTAATTTTGTTGATCGGGAATCAGAGCGTCCTGCTCTTGCCACAGGCGATTTTTTGGCACGACCCGATATATCTCTTGAAGCAGAACCCAGTATTGTTGCACAGAAGAAGAAACGCAAAGCAAGGTAATAAATATCTCAACGAATATTCGTCACACAACATTCAAGCACTGCTTTTGCGGATCTGACTTCAGCTTTTTTTGTGTTGGTGCAGAGGGAAGAAATCAGATGTGGGATGCGAGAACGAAGAATCTTGTGCTGCTATAGAGAGACAACCAAAGAGGAGGAGAAAAGGATCAGAGGGATGCTCAGGAGATGTATGTAGACAAGAGAATGAGTCTGTTTGTGAAAATGGTGAAAACGATGGAGGAGGTGTTGGGGTTTTGGAAGGGTGTAAAGAGAATCAAGACAATGTAAAGGAGAAACCAAGACTCGAAAGTGTTGCAGAAACATCGAACAGCAGCACTGTGGCCACCAATTGCTCTCAAGTCAAAGTTGGTATCAAGAAACTTAAGCCTCGGAGGAAAGTGTCTGCACTAGTTCACACCGAGAAACAAGATGCACCAATTTAGTTTTTCTTTGTTGCTCTTGACAATTTTGTATTTATACTCTGATTACTAAATGAAAACCATTTTCCAGAAAAAAACATCAGATTCCGTGATTTTAACAAGAATAAATTTCTTGAAATATTTTGGTAGAAAGAGTAACCGAGTACACATGTGCACATCTTTATAAATTTATTAATCCTTATTACTAGTGAACAAATACACATGAAAACACTATTTTCTGATTAGTATCCACAAAAGTAAAAATCAAGTTTGTATACAATAATATCACTCGTGAGCTGTGTATGTATACGTGAGTACAACAACATGGCATTACCTACTTCTAATGAACCTCCTTCGAGTGTTGTTAACACCATTCATTTCATTTCCTTTGTTCTTCTTCTTCATCTTCTCTAACTTTTGTCTGTGTCCTTCTATATCAGTCTTAATCACTCGTTCTCTCATCTCATCTGGTAGCAAAGCCAGTCTCGAGAACTTCTTTGGTGATACAAACCCACCAAGTCTCTCTTTAATGTGGTTATACGCAGGAACAAGGCCGCGTCTTATGAAACACCCGTCGATCAGCTCCATCGAGCTTGATTCCGGTAAAGACACTGAGTCTTTCAGTTCCAAGTCGAAGCAGAACGGTGAGTCCTTCAACCACATCCTGAGAGAATGTGCTTTCGCCACTAGGAGTCCGGTTCTCGTCTTGCAGGGAAGGAAAGGAGAGCCCATCTCCCAAAGACAAGCCTTCAGCGTTTTGTCCAAGGATATACCGTTGTATTCTGCGGTCCCTGTTATCAAGACTACTGACTTTGGAGATTCTGGGTGCCCTTCAAGTGATGCATCCTGAAATGAAAAGAAGAATTGTAGCCAGAGAATGATTCAAAAGTCCTTCACTTATGCAAGGATCTGTGTAATGATGCGAAGATGCAGATATATCAAGAGAGAAGAAAGAGATTGAATTGCCTGCATGTGGTCGAGCCATAGAGTAAGGGCAACAAGCGCTGCACCGGCCGACAATTTTCTAAAATCAGCACCCCAGTCCTTGTCCGCCACCCTGAAAGTCAAAATCAATCACAAAATGTGACAGCTAAACGCCTAATGGTTTGCACGAAACAAAGTGTTGACTAGTAAAACAGGACTGACCTGAAAACGTCGAGACTGAAGATACCCCTTTTGATTGCCAATTGGAACACCCACGATGCAGTAGCTCTGAGTTCAAACGCCCAGAGAAGATTCAAAAGAGCATTAGCGAAATTGAGAGCAGCGTTGTCCTCTATGGGTTTCAGTTTCTCGAACCACCCATCCACCTCTGAAACTAGCAACTCAGGTCTTCCAGATAAAAGCCTGGCAGGTCATTACAACATATGACGAGATGGATGTTTCAGTTAAGAGTTATCAGATATATATGATCTTAATTATGTTTAATAAAACAATGAACCTCTTCCTAGGACAGTAGTAAGGAATCCTCCCAAACATCCATGATTGAATTCAAAATGGTATGTACGAGAACTCGGAATGCATACCTGCTAGGAAGATCAAAACCAATATCTTGAAGAGCACTCAGCAGCAACATGACTTCGTTTTTTTCCTTGGCGAAACTTGCCGCTCTAACAAAGCAAGTCCATATCCTGTGGTCTGGCTCCAGGCCCTCTCTCTTCATTTCTAAGAGCCTTTCTATTCCACTGTTATAATCTTTACTCCGAAGGTAAGCATCAATAACTGAACTATAAGGCAGAGTTGTTAGTTCAACGTCTGTTTCTTTCAGGTTACTAAGAACCTTTTCAGCTTCTTGGGGCTTTCCTGAAGAACTATATGAAACCATGAGCAGATGCATTGTAGCAAGTGTTGGTTCTATCCCCGCACTCTTCATCATTTGCAACAACTTCTCTGCCTTAGAGTCACTTCCAGCATCTCGGGATATTTTCATCATCGTGTGATAAAATGAACGGTCTAGTTTATAACCTTTGGAGATAAGCTCTTCAAACAGTTGTTCAGCTTGTTCAAGGCATTTTTGCTTGCCAAAAGCAGAGATCAGGCTCTTGTATGTGTCCAGTTTTGGGTCCAAACCAATATTTCTCATCTGCTGCATAAGCAAGTACCCTTCTTCTGGTCGTCTGTCTCTACAATACATTATAATCAGAGTATTGTAAGTAGTCTCATCTGGTTCCAGTCCCGTTTCTCTTATCCTCTGGTACACTTGAACTGTCTTCTTGTAATCCTCGATAGCTGTATACATCTTCAGCATGGAATTCCAAATAGCGAGCTCGACCTTGAAGCTAGCTTCTTCCATTTCAGAAACCATTACTTCAGCATCTCTGACTCGTTTCCCTTTGCACAAAAGCTCAATCATCATCCTATACAGGCGAATCGTGGGCAAGTAACCAGCAGCCTTCATGCTATTGTATATCTTCTTTACCTCAAAGATATTTCCAGTTCGGGCAAATGCGTCAAGCATCAAAAGAATGGAGCTTTTGCTAATCTTAAATCCCATATCCTGCAATTCTTCAACAACAACGTATAGCTCCTCAAGCCTCCCATCAACACACAAAGCATGCAACAGAATATTGATGGATTCAACTGTTGGAGACGGACCATCCCTCATCATAGTGTTAAATATAGCCCTTGCTCGCTCGTAACAGCCACACTCAGCATATGCCGTCATCAAACTGTTCCATGTCTTCAGATCAGGTGTTCTCCCACTTTGTCTTAAGTTGCCAACCACACTCTCTGCTTTTTGCCATAGCTTTAGTTTTCCATAAGCCTCAATGATGTCAGTATATGTAGGCGAACAAGCAAAGTGGAAGCCTTTTGTCTCAGCTTGATTAACCACTTGATGAGCTGTCTCTGGAAAGCCAAGCTTACAATACACAACAACCATGCTTTTACAAACACTTTCTGAAGCCTCGCAGCCAGAAAGTCTCAGGTCAGAGAAAACTTGAGAAGCTTCAGCGTAATGTTCATTCGCTACACAGCAGTGTAATAAAGACTCATACATGGTGGAACTGCCAGAACTCCATCCATGAACACATGCATCAGCAAAGTATTCTTCTAGAGCAGCAATTATATTGTTTACCTTGCAATGTAGAACAATTAGTGCTTCATTTATAAGCCGCTTAGATCCACTGGCGTGTTCTTTCAAAAATTCAAGTAACTCACATGCTTCTGAATGCCTTCCTGATGAACTGTATGAACCCAAGATAGACAAAAGAGTGTCGTTTTGCAGTTCATAGCCATTGGTGATAGCCACTTTCAGCTGTCTAGCAGCAAGATCAAAGCATTCACCTTTAACAAGAACTGAGGAAATCTCTAATGGGTTCATGCCACACAATTCTTCCATATCCCTGATGGTTTTCTGAATGTCTTCTGACCTGTTTTCCTTCACAAGTCCAAGTATCAACAACTCATACAGACCGTGAGAGGGTGTATGACCATCGGAAATCATATCACGATACAAAACCCACGCCTTTCTTGTCTCGTTGCCTCTTACTAATATATCCAACATCACAGAATACGCTAGATTATCAGGTCTAGTCCCCGAGCGTAACATGCAGCTGAAAGTATCCTCGGCCTCCTCTCGCTTCCCAGCCTTGGCATAACCGCAGATGAGAGCACTGTAGGTCTGCAGCGTTGGTTTGATCCCAACATCAAGCATCTCCGACATCAGAGCTGCGGCTTCCTCGGTTCTGTTTGCTTTTCCAAGTGAATCGATCAAAACCGTGTAAGTAATAGCATCAGGGTTTCTACCCGACAAACCTTTCATGTCCTTGTAAAGCTGTAGCGCAAGATCAAGTTGCCCCTGCTTTCCATACATGTGAATGATCGTGTTGTAAGTCATCTCGTCTTTCCCAAACCCCATTTTCTGCATTTCTTGGTACACCTCCTTCACCTTCTCCGTATTTCTTTCTCTGGCAAAAGCATAGAGCAAAGAGTTGTATGTCACTGCATCAGGGAAATAACCTTTGAGCTCCAGCTCCTTGAAGAGCCTCTCGGCCTCAGCAGCAAGCCCACATCTACCATAGACGGAAATCATGGCATTATAAGTCCACAAGTCAGGTTGACAACGATGAGCTTCCATGTCCTCAAAAACCTTCACCGCCCCTTCCAAATTCGAATCCCGCGAACAGGCACTAAGAAGAGTGTTGTAGGTGATGGCATCAGGTCTAAGACCCGAGTTCCTCACCATATCTAATAGCTCAACAGCCAGATTCGGAGTCAGCCCACCAGACTTAAGCCTAGCATTGATAAGAGTGTTGAAACTTATCAGGTCTGGAACACACCCTCTCTGGCGCATTGCATCGAGCAGCTCTTGTGCCTTTGAAAACTTGCCGCTACGAGAGTAAACGCCCATCATCGCGTTGTATACTTGAACATTATCTCCCACGGCTGGCTCAGCCCTAGCGAAAATCTCCACCGCGAGAGATTCCTGATTCCACCGTCCCAAAACGCCGAGAATGGCTGCAACCATCCGGGCATTGGGTGAGTGCCAATGGCGGAGGTTGAGCCACTCGAAAACCTCGAGAGCTCGTTGCCAGCTCTCCTGACCAACCGATTTCACGACGAAGCAGTAATCAGTCGGAGTCATCTGAACAGGCCGAGCGTCGAGAATATCCGCCACGAACTGATTCGGCTTCAGGGCTAGAATCTTATCCGTCAGGAATTTCACTCTCTCTCTCCAATCCTTGGCCCTTATCAGAGCAACCTTATTCATCTTCTTCACTCTCCTTCTCCGGCTCGCCACGACGGCTTCTTCGTTCGCCTTTTTCTGCTCGCTGGAGCCGACGGAATCGACGAATTCACCGGAGTCCGGCATATCGGTTGGCGAAACCGGAGAAGAAACAGGCTGAGAGGGTGTTGAGCTTCTGGAATCATATGTCTGACGGAGATTCAAATGTGGCCATCGTACTGCGGGAGAGGCTCGACTGTAGGTGAATTGCTGAGTAGAACTAGTGCTGTTCCCTTGTTCATCTCTAATCTCAGAAACCGTCACCGAAGCAGAATTAAGGGCGGCACGGACGGATAAGGCAGGGGGTGAAGAGAGAGGAGAAGCAAAAGCTAAAGCCCCTGCAGAAACCGCCATTAATATCTCTAAGCTTCATACATCTGTTGCTGGATATGTACCGTTACAGATGAGGAGCGAGTGAGAAAGAGTGCGTGATGATGATATTTTTAAGGTTCTCTGAGAGAAAACAAAACTACATCCTGTTTGAGATTCAAACGAACAAACACCTTGCCGTTTAACTTTGACATAAACTCCAGGCTGTCTAATTTAACAAATAACAAACAGCTTGCCGTTTGACAGTGACATAGACGGCATTGATTAGAAATGGAGGAAAAAGGATACCAAAGTTAGTCATATCCAGTGAAAATGGAGGATTTTGAGAACACCAATTTCAAGATCACGAACGTGTAATTTACAACCAGACTTGTGACTTTTGATTTAGTGATGATAATCAATGGATGAACTTTATAACTTGAGTTTTTTTCTTGGAATTAAACAAAAATTGCCAAAATAGGTTTTGGAGGCACTAACACATAAACAGAACTTCAAAACGATCCAGTCTAGAAAAATTCTTAAAAATAAAAACAGCCAACTTCTCTGGAAATTTGTAACACTCATCAGTTTCTTCTTCTTTCTTCTTGTCTCTAGTAACGACCAATGCCCCAGACCCTGACAACTCCATCAGTATAACCACTGAACAATGTGCTTCCATCTGCACTCCAGTTCAAGCTCGTGCAGTATATAACCTGCATTTTTCATTTCACAATTTGGTACACTCCCATTAGAAACATCACCAATTTCAAAAAGTCAAAATTTTCAACAAGAGGCATCGAAGCTAGATGCGAAATGAATCTTATCAGCGAACATACTAACGCAACTTCTAAACCATAACCAAAGATAAACCCAGTAGAAATTCTCATCTACTTTTGGTGAATGCAAGCACAAACGATGATTTGAGCGAACAGAGGACCAATGACTATCGAAAAACGATGATTTGAATGAACAGAGGACCAATGACTATGGAAAAACCAATAGAGAAATTACAAGAATTCTATGAATAAGGGACATACCTTCTTCTGGTTACCGGTTCCGACACCGCCATCGGACTTCTCAGCCTCAGCCTTGAGATCAACCTTCAAATCCTCAACGACGCTCTTGCTCTCAAGATCCCAGATCTTAATGCTGTTCTCAGTTGCAGCACACAGCCAGTATCTGTTGGGGCTGAAGCAAAGCGAGTGGATAATCGAACCAGCCTCAAGCGAGTAGAGCTTCTTCCCTTCGGCCAAATCCCACAACAAGATACCACCGTCTTTCCCACCACTGGCGCACAGCGAACCATCAGGCGAGACGGCCACCGTGTTGAGGTAGCCCGAGTGTCCGGCGAGAGAGTTCCTCAGCTTGCAGTTTTGCAAGTTCCACACCTTAACGGTGTGGTCCCACGAAGCCGAAACGATGGTGGGAACAAGCGTGTTTGGGCTAAACCTCACACAGCTAATCCAGTCCTTGTGACCATCACCCTCCGTGATCGTGTACTTGCATTCACCCAGAGTGTTCCACAGCTTGATCGTACGGTCACGAGACGCGGACACGATCTGACGGTTATCAACAGAGAAAGCCACGGAGAGCACGTCTTTCGTGTGACCGACGAATCTTCGCGTGGTGGCGCCGGTGGCGAGGTCCCAGAGACGGAGCTCACCGTCCCAGCTTCCGGAGAGAGCAAACTGGCCGTCCGACGAGAGAACCACGTCCTCCACGAAGTGAGAGTGACCTGTGAGCCTACGCTGGGCAACACCGTAAGACTTGTCGTCCTTGGTGAGTTTCCAGAGGATGATGGATTTGTCGCGCGACGCCGTGACGATGATGTCGGAGTTGTCGATCGGTGTGGCGATGGCGGTGACCTGGTCGGTATGGGCGCGCATAGTGCCCTTCAGTACGAGTCCCTCGGCCATTGTTTGGGGTTTCGGGGAGAGACTCTACGGTTTCTTCTTCTTAATCCAAAAATGGCGTAGCAGAGCGAGAGAATTGGAGCACTCGTGAAATGCAGAGATTTATACTCTAGGTCAAAAAACAAGGAGGCTAGGGTTTGGTGCGCGATTACTGCAAGAAGACTACTTGATTGGGCCGAAGTTTCAGAATGAATTGAATTATGGGCCTCTCTCACATTTCCTTTTGTTTGGAGGGTTTTTGTCGTTATATTTCAGAGTTAAGTAATGTTGAACAATGTGAAAAAAAAGTAATGCTGATCATATATAGAGGAGCAATTAAATTTTTACTACGAGGCCAAAGGTTTAAAAATTAAAACTCACGACGAATCCATTCAAATGTACAAGAGTTTCCTAAAATACAAACAGAAATGAATTATTATTATCTGTTCATAATTTTAGTCTGTTTGATGCTTATTCAGGTTTTAATCATGGAGTGCACAACACACAGTGGCTTTGTGATGACCTTGGTACACTTTCACTTCTTTTCCCGCTGGCATAGACCACAACCTAGCCGTCATGTCCGATGATGCTGTGCGCATTACAAAATCAAAACCAGTTTAAAGACTGTTCGGTCTACAAGTTTTCCGATGGTTTAATTTAAGATAGATATTAGTACCTGTAACAAGAAATTCTCCATCCACTGAGAAGACGCAGTCCCAAACCCATCTCTGATGTCCTGTTAGATAAGAGTCATGACAGTGTTAAAGGTACGAGTGAGAGCAATGGAGAAACGAATGAGTCCTTTTTAAACACATTGAGACCTCACCTGTTAGAACTTTCTCTAGTTTGAAACCATCGACATTCCATATTTTGACAGTTTTGTCAGATGATGCAGTCGCTAGATATCTGCTAACAAAAATATATATAAGAGCTTGGTAGGGAGAAGACGAAGAAAAACAGTTTAAAAGGAGTGAATGAGAATACGAAACACATTACTTGTTTGCAGGAGAGAGTAGACATTTAAGGATGTGGCCATTATGAGCTTGTAGCTTATGAAGCGGCTCAAACTCTGTCATCGTCTGAAAACGAATAGAATTTTTAAAAAAATGGCATGACAATTACAGAAATGCGACTATAGTACGGTTAACGAAAACGCTTTTCATATCCGAAAACTAACCTGTTTTCCACGCAACAAGCGCCACACATAACATGTTCCACGGTTATTCGCAGCGACAACCATTGTCCCATCCCACATAACCGTTAGAGACCGTACAGCTGTATCAACTTCTGGTACCTATAGTCACACACCAGAGCAATTATAAGGAATCTTTTTAGAATCCTGTTAGGCTGAAAGAAGCTAGGGATTCTCGCAGAGATGTAACTAGGATGAAGAAATGAAGACGTACCAGTTCGCAGCTACACGAATTTGCTCTGAGATCCCATACACGGATATTGCCGTTTTGGTCTCCAGATATCAATTCAGTCTGTACAAACAGAAAAGCAAAGTTCTTCATGATTAAAGACCAAACCACATTGTGATAACAACTATCAGAAAAGCAACAGATGAGTTTTAAACCTGATTTGGGTGTAAAACAACTGTGTTGACTGCGGCAACACTTTCATACTCCCTTTGGCAACCTGGAGCCCTACATTTTTGATTTACGAGTCAAACAACAAGAACACAAATCATAGCTTCAAAATTCGTGAACTTTTTTTTATCCAATATCTTGTTCTTTTTCTTTGCTACAACTCGCACTTGGATGAATGAATCTATTTAACATTCAAGAACAAGAAACAAACATCAAGAAATCCACCTCAAGTCCCAGATCTTAACAGTGCCATCCTCCGATCCTGAGTACATCCACTTCCCATCACACTGGAATCCCACTGCCATAACATTGTTGGTGTGTGAATCATAGGTCATCACCTGATGTGCACAGAAGATCATTCAACTCAATAAAGTAAAAGGCAGAAGCAAACACCACACACTCACTCAATCAACAAGAAAAAAAAAAGTTGAAATTTTTACAGGCTGAGGGCTGTTGGAATTGACTTCAAAGAGTCGGATATGAGGATTGCAAGCTGCTGCTAGATGACGCTTGTCTGGAGTTATCTCCAGCCTATTCACATGCTGAATTGCCCCAAAAAAACAAACACCGTATTGAGTAATTTTACTCCATACAATACAATTAAGAAGTTTGTGAAAAGAAAGAGAGCTTTACCGAGTCAGGATACTGAATGGTACGGTAACAGCGACCGCTTTCGGCTTCCCAGAATCGGATCGTGTGGTCATAGCTAGCTGTTGCGAGAACCACACAAGGCTGACTCATCCTCGATCGAATTCGATCAAGCAGCCATTTCGTGATTCACGGAAGAAAGCAAATCTAATCCCTTTTCCAATGATCAACAAAAGAGAACGATCCTATAACCAAATATCTTGTTTCGCGATTGAGGATCGGAAACAGGAGAAGCAGAAGGAAAATTATAAATTCAAAGTCATGCAAACCGGAGAGAAACAAAAGACAGAGAGAAGGGAAGGTGGCAGAAGAAGAAATAGGGTTTTACCGATTGAGAACACTTCTTCTGTATAATTAACCCAGGGATGTGTTTGTATAAATTAATATCTATTGGGGTTATATAATAATTTAATAAATATGTAAGGTGCCATTTTGTTATTTATAAAAAGTAAGTTGAAATTGAAGAGTTTTTACCACCAAGATGTGAGAATCCGTTTCCTCAAGGCGCAAATACTAGATTTGGGGCATGGGATGGTAATAGTTGATGATCACAAACAAAATGGTTCAATATCTATTTAGAAAATGACCACCAATTGGGTGAAGACTAGATAACAATTAGTTACAAACTTCTCAATTTATATTAGATTAAACATATAGGTTATGTAGTAGAGACCAACTTAATATAAGACCAACTTAATATATAATAATAATTCGAATAAATACTATTTGTACTTTCATAAATTGTGTCGTTTCAAAATTGGTGGTTGCGTCTTTTCATTATAAGTAGTTGTATTTTTTCACTATAAATGATTGTGTTTCTTCATTAAAAATAATTACATTTTTTCATCACAACTGTAATTCGTATCTTTTCAAAATTATTTAAAGGGAAAACAATCTATTTCTCCATAAAAAGTATTATATAGCATCAGATCTACACCAAACTAAAGCATAATGCTATATATCCCCGAAAATAAAGTTGTAGATCTAATTACACCTGTACTAGGTGGTCTGCCCGCGATAGCGCGGGCAAATACTTTTTGGCAAAAAATTTTGGTACACATTGTTTTTCTTCATTTTTTTTATGTTGGTGGTTAATATATATATATATATATATATATATATATTACAAAAAGAGTTCAATTTTATAATAGTAAGAGTGTGCTCACTACCGCAAACAATCTATTTAGCTAACAATTCGCATTGGATGTAAAGACAAATAAACTTTAGGGCGAGAAAACAATTGTACCTTTATTCACTCAAACCAAAATGTCCAAAAGAATATAATAAATTTGAGTTGTAAGGAATTAATTTCTCTTTCGAATAATGAAAACTCATCTAAACATAAGTGGTATTGCATCTCTTATCCAGCTATATCTATTTAAAAATTAAAAAAAAAATATTAACATCTTTAAGATGATGAATCATATTTTAATTAAAAATTAATGTGAATAAAATTAGCTTTATGAGATAAATGTGCATTTTGGCAATGTACATATCTAAGAAAAAGATCGGTAAAAGTGTTTCTAACAAATAGTTTTTAAAAGTATGAATTAATTTACTTGTAGCACTAAGCATCTCTCTCTGCGTCTGTATGACTTAATTGTTAGTGTACACAGTCATGGTCCAAACTTGCCACCATGTAACACTAAAAAAAATATTATAGTAAAGTTAAATCAGCAGTATGCTCTACTGATTCGCTAATTTTGATGACTTGCTTTCAAGTACACAAAGCAGAGGAAATATTTTTTTATAAGAAACTAAATCGGCAATATGAATACATAAGATCTAATCTTTTTTACTTTACAATTATGATGTGTGCATTTATAATAGCTCGGTGGAAATTAACTTCCTGTGAAGTGCTTTTGACCATATTTTCTACAGTTATAGCCATCTTCAGCCAAGACCCATAGTGCAGTTCCTCTAGAATTGTGCTTTAAGCCCTAGAATTCATCACATTTAGGCTCCTCTGTGTTACCTGAAATCAAAATAAACGATTTCAAACCATATGAAATCGAATACCTAAATCATTTACGCAAAAAAAAAAAAAAATTCAACGCACATCAAATAACCAACACTCCACAGAAAACCTCAAAGCTTGCAACACAGGGCAATGGAAATCCCTTGAATGTGACCTATATTGTTTTTTTGGGGGGGGTAAAAGTGTGACCTATATTGTTTGTTTTTGATCAGCGTTGTTATCTTTTTATTAGTCTTGGCTACGTGTGATTCCAAAAACAGGTGCAAGATTTAGCTTTAATCTATGTGAGGAAGTAAAAAGAGGGTTTCTAGTAAGGAAGTGGGGGAATTTATTACTCTTCTTGTCTATCTATCTTAAGTACCTTTTGTTTTTAAGAAAACTGATTCACTGGTGCAGGTCGATTTGATGATATATGGGAGCATACCAGTATCAGCAGTAGCCTATCTCCTTTATTTGAAACTATTTGGGCTTGTCTTTGCTTTTTCTTCGTCCTCGGAACCTACACCGTCTGAGAAACTAAGCACGCTTGTGCAGATAAAGATTATTTACATATTATAATCATGTTCTGTAACTCGGTTTTAATGGCGGATAAGTGACATATAAGTTGAATTATGAACATGTGTCTCTTCATTTAAGCTTTCTCCTAGCAGAATAATGATTTGTAGTCAAAGTTCTAATACAATCTCGAATCCAATCCAACTTTCCGAAAGAGATGATCGTCATTTTGTTATTGACTTATTGTTTCCTCTAACACCATCTCATCTTGAACGTGAAATTGAGAAAACATAACCCAAAAGATTCATATGAAT